CGAAGATGAATCAAAAATCGGCGGGAACTTTTCGGACAACCCAATATAAAGAGACATTGAGAATTTCTAGCGCGTGTTCTAGGATTGAAACTTTCAAAAAAAGTTCATTCTCTTGAGAAATATGTATAATGAAGAATTCATAATTACCAAAACAGTTAAATGTATATATAGAAATAAGCTTATTTGTTACAAGTATTCTATCAAGGATAATCTCAATAATATCACCAAATTGGTTAGAGGAATTATGGAAATTTTTGCAGTAATCATCATAGTATAACTTATTTTTCATATGTGCACTTTGTTTAACTGTATTGAACAATGCATTTCACGCATTCCTTTGTCCACTGACCCCAAACCACTGATGAGCCTCAGAGGAACGTTGAAAAGGATTATCTCGCTCTAATAGCATGAACGCGCCGCAACCGGCAGTAATTTTTTCCGTAGTGATGGGTATTTACGAACTCGTCTGCTCCACTTTCCTTGGTCTTCTCATGTGAAAATCACCTCCGTTTTCATTCGAAATCATTCCCCTTTGTTGACAGAAGTTTTTTTCTGGCAGAAAGTCAAATTAGTTATGAAAAGCAACCGTTTTTAATCAAGTAACAACTAAGGATCGCGAAACTAATTTATTGATTCAGTTAAAAATAACTCATTTATTTGGACAGCTTTGATAACACGTGTTTGAAACCTGTTGAAGTCCGAGTTGTAGTTTGCTATAAGGGTGAAAAAGTCGCCTAGGGCTTGCTCGTTTTGTACTAAAAAAAATTCAAATTTTTTTTCTGAATTTGTCGTGACATTCGGTTTGTTTCATGAATTTTTTGGGCTTATATTGAGAAAGCTAGCCTTAGCATAGCTTTCATTGAATCTATTGTATCACTGGAAGTGCAACCTTTTTTTTGTGAAGGCTAAATAAGAAAAAAGGTTCAGATCTTGCTCAGTTTCGCGTCCTTGTTTCAGGATTGGCAAAATTTTGGTGAACTCCTTAGATTTCACCACCTCTTTTCTTATTTTGATCTATCATTTGGTCACCTTCTTATAAATGTCCTCCCGACCGCGACGTAGCTGTGCGAGAGGTGACGATTCGATATTGTCACCTTCTACTATATTCCTCTGGTCAGACACAAGGCTGAAGCAGGTTGGTGAAGAAATTTCCCTAGTTATGTGTTTGTCATATGTTCCATCTTTTCTCTCATACCTATAAACCCTCCATCAAAGGTTCTAGTTTCCTGCTAAGTATAACCGCAGCTCTTTTAGTTATAAAGCGATAGACTTTCAAGCTTTTGCACCTTGTGGTGATTCCAATCAAAACTTTCCATTCCCTGCAACAGTTTCCGTTACGTAACTTTCCTCTCGTTCTCTCCCATTGGCCTATTTAGAGGAGAATCGTATGTGCTTGAGTGTCGCAGAAATAGAGTGGTCAGATAGAATAACCCGGGCTTAATTTGATTCTAGTTATGCCTCAATCGGAAAAGTAAATGTCCTTGAGGGCCCTCTGTTTCAAAAAATATGAGTCGAAGTTAGGAAAATTGGGTTTGGATTCGTATTCAGACTGCTACATGCTCTAACGCGCTCATTCTAGTAGAATCCTGCTCAAGTTGTAAAGTTTATCGCTGTTTCAAGAAGGTCTCACTGTTGATTTTGCTTTTTCTTTCTCACAAGGAAACATTTTCGGAAGTAGCGAATGTTTTACTTGCATCAGTGTTTAGTTTCTCTGGGGTGGCGACGATTGTTCTATGCTACATATTGCTCCAGGCCCGTCCTGATAGGCATGAGTTGTAGTCCTTTTTTGCGTGGTTGGCCTGTGACTGGAAACATCTGGATTTCTATAATTTTTTTCGAACTCATGGACACCAATGGCATTAATCATCATCTTATGGGGCAAAATCACTTAGTGGCATGATGGTCGAAAGCTTTATGTTGATGATCAGACCATTTTCAGAGTTTGAGCTCCTTGTTTGTAGAGCCGAGGCTCTCAATTTCCCTTGTATGTGCACTAACTTAGTTTTTCCACTAGCCGGTTACATAGCACTGCACACATTCATCCCCATTTATAGTATCGTCTCGCATATTTCTCTTTCCTTTGCAGGAACTGACGAGAAGAGGATTGAGTCGTGTAGGCATACGGCAGGATCTCATCGACAGATTATTAGATGATATCAATGGAATTGTGAAAAAAGAAGAGCCGTGTAGTGAATTTTCTGTCATCACGAAAGACACCTCTGAATCTCAGAATCTTGATTCGAGCTCGCCCCTCCAAGATGGTGCAGAATCTGGGGAGAGTAGACCTGTGAGTTTGATTCTACAATAAATCTTCTTTTCATTAGTCGTCTTAATTATTGCCCTTCTGTATTAGTGCGACGCTGTTGGCCACCGTCCTTGAGTGTAGTTGACAACTTAATTCCCACCTTTATCCAACGACTTTTTAACGAAACGGTAAAATTGACCTCCTGAAGTGCATGGATCGATGATGAGAAGGCAGGTAGTGCAACGAAAAGCGATGAAGTGAAAGTTCTGTTCAGGTCTCGGTTGTCGCAGAGCCGCAAACTCTGACTACAAAGAGAAGAGGAAAGCGAAAGGTGACATAACTTATATTATATGATTATTTAGTTTCTTGTTGTTTCTTGCTCTTTATTAATTATAGCTATCTGTCCTTCACATCTTTTAAGACTTCGACTACTGAAACAACACCGCAAGCTAAGGGGAAAAGGTTGAGGCTGAATCTTTCTGGGAAAAAGTCGGATTCATCGAATGAAACTCCTGGTACTTCTGCTCATTTGGTGACTTGATCGATTCTGAAGCTTAAATATTGAATAATTACAGCAGCCCGCTCACGCAAGCCTAGGCAAAGAGCTTCTGCCGGGGAAGATATCGCAGTTCCAAATAAAGAAGTTACTGTTTCATGTGAGAGCACTGCCCATTTAAATGATGAGGCTCCACAATCACCTGTAGATATAAAGCCTTCAAAGGAAGAAATTGCGGTGAGTGGCAAATCCTCACACTTGGTTCTTTTTTTCTCAAATCTATTTCTTTTTAATTTCAGTGTCCTGCTGTAGAACCTACACCAACTTGCTCTATAATGAAGCCTATTCTATCAATTTTACCAAAAGTGGTAGGTATTTTTCGCCTGAAAATGAAACAAGGCTTATCTGACACTTTGGGGTTTTCAGCGTCCTCTTCCATCATTATTCACACCCAAAGCAACTAGTAGTGCAGGTAAATTCATCCGACTTAGTTCCTCTTAAGTCGGCTCAATCTTTTCTTCAGAAACTTCGGGAACCACCTCAACAATGCAGAGTCGTCCCCAAAGGCATTCTGATAATGTTGTTTCATCACCAATCTTTACGAATAGTGACAGTGAGTGTTTTAAATTTAACTTGCAGGATTGGTGTGGCAATTTTTTGATGTGGAGAACTTTTTTAGTATACGACTCCAGTGCGGACGAAAAGCCTCCTGTGTCTGAGAGGCACTCCGGGGTTCTTAGAAAGTTTGTTTTCTTGGCTCTGTTGCAGTCGGAATTCCTCTGCCATTGCCAAGGTAGTTTATTTCAGGTCTTCTAGTGCTGGTTGCACGGCTGCTGCGCTCGGAACTGTCTTATCATGTAAGCACGTTGTTTGAAATTGTTGAAATTATCTCTACCCTATCTATATTGGAACTTTTTAAACTTTGAATCCTGAATCTAGTTTGAGGTTAATGCTTCTAAAGCAACTTTTTTTTATTTCACGACGCCTTCGATTATGAGCTCAGTTTCATTTACGAGAACAAGGTAGATCAATTCATTGTTGTTCTGAATAGGACACAATCCCAAATCTCACGTAGTAATTTGCAAAGAGACTGCAACAGTATCTTTAAGCATTTGACAACTTCTGTTACAGCTAGAAAAAGTTCTGCTCCAAAAGACGACGATGACCGACATGGGCAAAAGAAGTACGTTTCTGAACTTCTCTCCCATAAGTTTGGTTTTGTGCTCGTATTATGAGAACTTCTTACATTGTTTTTCGCCTCCAGGAACTCCATCTCGAGTATTTCAAAGGCTGATCGATTGAGCACGGCAAAGCCAATCACAGAAGCATGGGCCGAGCGATTAGCTGAGGTTAGTAATCCATAAATTTTTTAAAATGTGTTTCTAACAGTTGTTAAAAAATCGACTCAAATCTGTCGGTTACTAGAAGTGATACCTTACAGTTGAAAAAAAGTGATCCATCAAAGTTTTCTGCTGGACCTGTTGTAAAAGAGAAATCTAAAGAACGCGATGTGGAGTTGCGGCGGAAACCTACGGGTGCTAAACCCTCTGTATCTTCTGCTGGTGAGATTCAATTGGCAATTTTTATAGTAATGGTGCAAGTTTCATGGTGGACTAACTTAGCACCTATTATTATTACACTACATTAATAAGAACTGCAGTTGTAGGTGCCGCTCCTAGTAACGTAAAGAAATCCAGTAGCACTGGATCAAAAACAGCAGAAGGACTCGATCTCTTGGATTCAATTTTGAATCAGCAGTCAGAATTTCTGCAGACAATGCGTAGATCTGAAGACAGATGTTCACCCGAACCCGTCAGAGCTGCCCCTCGGGTTGATCAACCTGAAGGAATTTCAGAACATCAAGGGTTAGAACGAGCGCCGGGTAGGTACTAAGATTGAATCTGCTACTATCTATTTGTTGGTGAAAAAAAAAGAACTGTCTTTTCTTCAGATCTCTCCGGTGCTGCTGAAGAAGCATATAGGCGGTTTGAGCAAACATTCTCTGAGTCAAATTCATCTAAAAGTTCTCCTAAAAGTCCTCAATTCTTGTCGCTTCTTCCTCCTCCTCCACCTCCCCCAAAGCCTGTTCAACAAACAATCACTTCCAAGAAGAGTCTCACTCTCAGCCCGGAGTTGGTGCAGCTTCTCGTCCCACCTCCCCCACCTCCACCACCACCACCACAACCTCCACTACCTCCATTAAAAGACGTTCCTCCACCGCCACCACCACGACGCCCCAAAGTCAGCAATCTGGAAGATCTTCCTCCACCTCCTCCACCTCCGAAAAGACTCAAACCTGCTCGTCCAACTGCTGCTAACGTACGTAGTCTTCAATCAGATTTTTGCTCTTGTTGATTTGATAGTTTCTTCACTTTATTGATTTAGAAAGAGACAACGGCAAAGGACCCTAGTGGCCTCGTCGAACCTAACCAGTTAGTTTTTTTTCTTTTTTATTTGTGAGTAGTTATTACCTTGGTAGCGGGGATGGAGTAACCCTGATGCTCAATTTCTCTTTCTATTTGCATTATACGTAGTTTAAATACATCACAGAAAGGGAAGGAAAAGGGCGAAAGATAAATATGCCTCTGGATGCTTTTCTTTTATAGAAAAATTTCCTCTGAATGTCATACCCTGCCAGCTAGCGAAAGCAAGTAGGATCGGAACTGTTTAGCATTTCTTCCTCCTCAATATTATTGTTTGTTTACTTTCATTAATTAACATTTGTCTTCTTTCTCAGTTATTGAATGTTCGATCCTTTTTTTTCTTGAAAACTGTGCTGCTTTCTCTGCTAGACAAGAAGGGTGAGCGGTACCAACCATATTCGCACAATAAGTAATTGTGAGTGGGCGATGAGTTTGCTAATCTCAGGGGCCGTAAGGGATGCTCCCCTGTACAGGGGAGGGACCCCTTCCCGGTTAAGGTATGCTCTAGGGGAGAGCAGAAAGATAGATGCTTTCGGGGAGAGCAGAGAGCAGAGAGAGAGAGAGACCCGAATCGGGGCGTCCCAGCCCCGAACAGGAGAGCATATCTTACGGCCTCAGCTGAGGTAGCGTTGAGCAAAACTTACGTATGAGATAAAGCGCTGCATTGGTGACGAACGGTCGGGAAATACGAAATAGTTGCGATAGTAATTCACGAAATAATGTTAATACTGGTTGAAATGTCAAATCGTAATCTGTAGTTGGTAATTGTGGTTGAAGTAATGGAGCAATGCAGAACTCACCGACATGAAGCCAAGACTTGTGCTCGTGCACGTGTGATGTAACCGGCGATTGGTGATCACCCCATTTTGGTAAAACCATTCGCACTTTAGGAATATTCTAGATTAATCCAAATTTCAATTCACTATTTAAAGTTTCTCACAGTCTAGTTTCAATGTCATACTAATTATTTTATTTTTTTAAATAACTTGTTTAGGGAAGTCCCATCTGAGAACAGTAAAGCCGATGACCCAACAAGTAAGTATTGATTTTTCCTTTGCGCATGGTGAAGTTCACCTCAATGTTGTGTTTTTTCAGTTATGGCCGACGTAAAAACGTGCTTGGAACATGTGGTATTTCTGGTCTCTTCTATAAGACCGTTCGATGAAATCAGTGGAGAGCTTCTACCCGCCAAAGAGGTATTATATTTGCGGTTCCCGTTAAAGGCTTTGAAAAGGATGGACGTAGGCGCGCAGTTCCGGTATCACTGCGAAACGAGTAGAAAGTGATCCCGCTCAGTGTGTTTTCCGTTTTCAATTCCTTCCTTCTGTTGCATATTGTGTTCGCAGGTGCCTGTACCATTTTCTCAGCGCCTTGAACGTGGTGCTGCTTCTGATTCGGATGGCGTAGCGTCGAGCAGTGCCGATGCGCCCATTGAAAAGAAAACTGATGGCGAAGGTACTTCTTCAGTTGAGGATCCCCAGAAAGAAGTTCCAAACGAAGACGAGGAGGTGAGCATAAGTTGATAATGTAACTTTTTGATTTTTTGGTGTTGTTCAAAAAACATCTGATTTCAGGAGTATGATCCTGTGGATGCGTCAGTGGTTGAAGAGTTCGAGGTGTACGTGCCGTCTGCAGTGGTCTCTCGAAACGTAACCCTTGATGTTCGTAGAAAACCTCTTTTCCCTTTCATTTGTTCTTTTTTTCTAAGATCTTTCTGTTTTCAGGAGCTAAATTCTTCGATCACGCCTCCACTGGAGCTGCCCAATCCTGAGCACGACCAATACTCACCCAGTTCCAACACGGGTTTACATATTGATGAAGACCTTGATGAAGGCGAAATAACGGACGACAGCGATAGCGAAATTCAGTCTATTGCTGACTCAGACGACGACTCCGAATATGATGAGGGGGTTCCTGATCAAGAAACTTTTATGCGTCATGACGAGAACGGTCGACTAGTGAGAGTAGTACGGCGTACTCGCAAAAGAAATGATCAAGTTAGCTCGCTCAACACCCAGCCTGAAAACGGAGTCATGTCATCGCTTGACAATACAATGAATAAAGCTGCGGAAGAAGAAGAGTTCGATTTGAAACCGTGAGTGAAATTCTTATTGATCCTGAGTGAAAATACTACTTGTTTTCTATTTATTTATCAGAAAAGACAACCGAAAAGAGTGTTGTGACTTTTAGTGACCGCGAAATTTTGGATGATCCTCGTCATTTACTTCAGCGAGCTTCTGCTGTTTTGCAGGGTTTGGGAAAAGGAGAGGGTATGTTAACAATAAGCTTATGAAGTGGTTCTGGTAGAGATTTTGTTCTTCGGCCAAACTCTTACTTAGGCACGCACTTCCTCAGGATAGCGTAGTTCTACCAGGTCATCTTACTCCCTGTTTTCTTCCTTTTTTAGTCTGTTCCTTTTATTTTTGTGCCTTGTCTGCCCGATTATTAGGTTTATCACTTTTTCTTCATTCTCCACTTCACCTTACACACCTGAATTATTTACTATTATTTTAGTTTTTATTTATTTGTTTTGTAATTTTTCCCATTTTTCCCCTTTTGGTCTGTTTTATTCATTGACTTTATGAGCCATTTTGCCGATTCTTGCTCAAACATCTTTTCTTTCCTACTCGACTATCTCGTTTTTTCTGTGTGGGCTAACTTCCCTTGATGTGATCATCCTACCAACATCCTCCCTTCAGCCTATAACTCTCGATTCGTTCATAACACCTTTCATACTTTTTCTCTTATTTATCACTGCTCATTAGGAAAAAGCTGCTCATTGCAGATATTAATAAATAGTCATTGCCATAGGAACAGGGTAGCGTGATTTAATAATATACCAAGATATTCTGAATTTTTCTAGATCACATTTCTGTTCTGGTTTTCCGGTCTCATTGCATTTCTTCATCAAAAATTTTTTTTGATTTATTCTTTATTATTCTCATACCTTGTTTGTTGTCGTTTCACCAGCTAGCTACTTTAATGCCTTCTCCCCGAATTTCTGAAGACTTCGCAAACTTACATGCGTTTGTTTTTATTACTTTTGTCGTTCGTTCCACTAAGATTGTAGAAACTGGAGCTAGACGTAAAGAGTAGTTATGGCTGAAGGGCATCCCTTAAGAACGATTTTCTGTTTCATTCTTTAAAAAACACATGATATTGTGGATGTTCTCGTGTTCAATCTTCTCACCATTTGGAACATTGTGATCGAACCACCGACGCTCTATGTAAGGTTATTTATAGCGTTGATTCGAATAGCGTTCTTTTGTCTTTTAAAGCATTGCCACTAATATTTCCTATTCAGACTGTCTAGGATATACTTTCTTGAGTTGGCTAAGCACATTCATTCATCTTACTGTAAGCACTGTTTACACGCCCAAAGTACCTTAATTCTAGGAACTCAGTATACACAAATGCCATATGATGAGGATTACGAGGAAGAAGAATGCATTCAACCGATGGACAGTTTTCACGGAGAACCTGTCCCTGACGATGACGAACTCTTCGAGGTTACTGCATATCATAAACTCACTCGGCTTATTTCAAGGAAATGCTCAAAGTTCAACAGTATCTACCAGCTGTAACTTTAGGTGGCTGCGGGACTCAAGCCCAAACGTAAGGAAGAAGTCATAGTTGAAGAACG